GGCAGAGCAAGTTTGACAGAGAGCTCACTATTCAAATGAACCCAGTCCCCTCAATTACCCTTTGATCCATTAATTCACAACAGATTAACCTGTTCATGAAGACAGACCCCTTATAATTTAATAATCCCCCACCAGTCCCACTTCTTTATGCTATTAACATGAATTTGGAGATTATATTTCTAACAAATGACTCTGAGGGAACACATTTGGACCATACAGTCTTCCACTCGTTGGTTAGGGTGGAGGGGTTTCAGAGCCAGGAATTTCATTTCTATGGGGTCTCCCACCTACAGTGTTAGCAGAGACCATTTGGAAGTCTGGACTTCCATCACTATTCCAAAAGACTTTGATAAAGGTAGAAGAGTAATTCAATAGAGAAATGCAGCCTTTCCAACAAATGCTGCTGCAGCACCTGGCCATCTGGACTTTTCTAGAGGAAAAATGTCCTACAACTAGAGTTTTGCAACTCACAAAAAATTAACTCAAAATGGCCCATGGACATTTGTAAAAATATAAGACTATTTTTTAAAATCTTTAGAAAAACATAGGAGAAAATCTTTGGGACTTGGAGTTTAATAGTGAATTTTTAGACATCAACATATCGTAAGAGGAAAAAATAGTAAAGTTGGGCTTCATTGGAATAGAAAGCTTTTACTCTGCAAAATACCTTGCTAGGCAGCTGAAAAGACAGCTGCAAGGTGGGAGAAAATATTTGCAAATCATATAGTTGACAGAAGAGTAGTATCCAGAACATAAACTATACTCAATACTCAAAACCAACCAAAAATCCAGTTAAAAATAGACAAAAGATAAGAACAAACATTTCACCTAAGGCTATAAAGATGGCAAATAAGCACATGAAAAGATTTTAAACATTGTTAACCATTAGAGAAATGTAGATTAAAATTTCAATAACATATATTATGTATCTCCCAGGATGGCTTAAAACATAAATTACAATATCACCAAATTCTGGTGAGGGTTGGGAGAGACTGATCACCCATATGTTTCTTTCTGGATAGAGCATAAAGTGGAAGAGCCACTCTGGGAAAGTTTGTGAATTTCTTTACAAAACAAACAAGCATGTGTATGACTCAACATTATCCTCGAGAAATAAATATTCATGTTCACATAAAAATCTATATGTGAAGGTTTATAGCAGCTTTATTTGCAATGGTCCCAAACTGAAAGTAATCCAGATGTTCTCCATAGGGGGATGATTAAACAAATTGCTTCATTCATACAATGGAACACTACTTTTACTGCTGTAAAAGGGAATGAACTAGTGATACAAAGAGTAGTTTAATGGATCTCCATTAAACTATGCTGTGTGAGGAAAGTCAACTCCAAAAGATCACTTGCTGTGTAATTCACTGAAACTCTGGAGATGACAAGTCTGTGTAAATGAATCAAGGATTAGTGGCTGGCATAGGTTAGAAGGGGTGGGTTGGGGTGGGCGGAAAGTGAGTGTAGCTATAAGAGGGGGAATAGACAGGTTCCTTGTGGCGGTGAAAATGTTCTGTTGCCTTGACTGTTTTGATACCAGGTTATGCTATTTAACTCCATTATATGTGGTCTTGCAAGATATTACAGTTAGGGAAAACCAGATGAAGGACACACAGGGTAGGTTTTATTTCTTACAACTGTTGGCGAATCTACTATAATCTCAAAATAAAAAGCTGAGCTTTAACAAATTATGTATATAAATAGCAAAAGACAAAGAATACCTAAGATCATCATGAACAAAATGAAAAACCAGTGGAGATGTAGATGGCTACTATCTTTAGAAAACTGTTTCTCATGAACACTTGATTCTATTCCATGATTTATTTCCTGGGTATAGATCTTAGGAAAAAAGGATGCACATAGTAGTGGTACTCTAATAGCAAAAATAAAGCTGAGTAGCTTTTCTAATGTTAACTGCCTGGTTTTGCTAATGTACTGTGGTTACATAAGATGTTTCCATGGGGCAGCAGGGGAGTGATGTACAGAAAATTCCTGGACTACTTTTTGCCACCTCTATGTGGATCTAAAATTATTTCACTTAAAAACCTGGACACTTTATTGAAAATAATTTTAGGAATTGGGGCAGACAGTGAAATACTGTACTAAGCAAGTGGAAAGGAAGGAATTGCTGTTATATGTGTTAACAGAAGAATCTCAGGAACATAATGTGATGAAAAGTACAAGTCGTAGAACAGAAAATATAGCTTGATACTTTACATAAAATTTAAAACATTCAAAAGAAAGCACATTACTAAAGTACACATCCAAATGTTTCAAAACTCAAAGAAAAGTCAGGATGCTGGATATACAAGTTGGGGAGAAAGGAAGAAGAAGAAAAATTGGGGGTGTGGCTCAGGAATATTGTAATTTTTCCAGCTGGATGGAGAACAAATAGGCAGTCACAATGAGGTAGTTTTTTTTTTTAATAATTTCTGTATGTGTGCACAGATCGCTCAAAATAATATAGTGAATGGTGAATGTTTCAGAATAATCCCTCTCAAAATGCTTCTCCTCACTTTGAAAACACTTATCCTGTCATGCCTACCACTTTCTGAAGCAGTCTGGAAGCCCTCTTTCATGAATGACTTTATAGGGTGTGAAGAAAATTATGGTCAATGCCGCTGCTGAGCACCATCTAACAGAAAGACAGGCTCCTCAAACAGGACAGTGTGCCCTCACTCACCTAATTCACGGCACCTGGCACAGTGAGACTTCTGGTTCTTCCCCAAAGCTATAATGACTATGCAAAGTAAACCTTTTAAATTGCTTCAGGACACTGTAGCAGCTAGGACAGAGTAGCTAAAGACACCCACAAAAGGAGGTTTCCAGAAGTGCTTACAAAGTGAGAACAATGGGACAAACCTGTTAGAAATGAGAGGAGGTACTTTGGAGGGGATTAATGGCAATGTGTCTTTTACTGTAACACATTTTTAAAAATTTAAACACACTGTTTTTTATCAGACCTCGGGGTACACACTTCATAAAATGTTTTACAGGATTTTAAAAGATGGAATACAAAGATGTTATGTGGAAGAAATTTTTTCTAGTGAGGTTGCCGAAGTGGTCACATTTTCTACCCCTCACTAAAAGCCTGGGTGCTCTATGGCAGGATACAGGCAGGTCCAAAATAAGGAGGCACAGCAATGGTAGACAGGACAGAGCAGATATGGAGTCTCTGAGGTTCTAATTCCCACAACATCATGCCCACATCGTGTGACATGGGTACTTCCCCAGCTCACAAGCCAGCCCAGAAGTTGGATTGGTTTTTTAAATTTGAACAAGAAAAATCTTGACAGAGTCCTGCAAGGCATCCTGGTCCATGGTCAGCCCAGGTGGAGATAGCACATTGGCTGATTAGGGATGCTTAGAGTGCCCACACTCCGTCCCTCCACCCCATGCTGCTCTAGGCTCAGAGTGGGCTCCTTTGGCTATTTGTCTTGCCGCATGACCTCCTAAGGACAGCATGAGAGGGTGTGGGGAGGTGGGACCAGATGTTGTTACAAGGCCGGGTTAAAGGAGCACTGCCTGGTTGGATTCCTAGACCAGTGGCTTCCCTGGCCCTTCTCCGAAGGGACCATTTCCTGAGGCAGGAAAGGCAAGCTTCCTCTAGCCCTATATTGGAAGTGCTTTCGTAAGACAGCAGAGATGGGATGGAAAGCAGGAAGATAATCCTGAAGCTGGTGACTCCCAGTCAAGCTGATATCCCAGGACCATGACCTACAAACCCCTGGGGCTCCAAACCAAAGGGAATTGTGAGCATGGAACAGTTGTTTTGATCTGGGTTCTAGACATGTCCTCGAGAACGCAACAACTATCTCTTAAGCTCTGAGCTAGGGTCTTAGGGGTCAGTGGTGGAGTCTCATGTTGCTTTCCATGGCACCTGCTGCCAGTAGTTGAATAAGCAACAGCAGAGAGACGCAGGGTGCCAACAAGCTTTCACAAGTCCTGTAAGTCCAAAGAGAGTGACAAATACCCACTGGAAATGTGCAGATGAAGGCTGCATCCTCTTTTCACTCTCTATGTAACATACGTAATATGGTCCAGACCTGCTGATGATAATCCCAAGTTAAATATTCATGAAAGAGTCACAGCAGAACAAGACCACAGGATGGCAGGAGAGGACGAGGCAGCTTGGTAAAATCTCCTTTAACCAGGCTGTTGAGGGATTGAACTGACCTGGAATGGTTGCTAATACCTGGCATCTACTCTTTGCTGTCATTCACTCACAAGGTACTGCCTGTGCTGCAATGTGCAGGCGAGTACACAGCAAAATGGGAGGTCTCTGTCGGGTCCTTGTCCAGCTATCCTTAACTGTCGGTGCAAGGAGTGGCGTTTTTCAGTCTGACAGCATGAGGGTCAAAAAGCTCAGAGCACTAGAAATAGCCGCGCTGGCACTCAGGGCATCGCTGTGCTTTCTCTGCCGTGTGCAGGTAGGAGAGAGTTAGCATAAAACGGGCCCAATAAGCAGCTGGTTTGAGGTAAGCGCCCCTATCTCGTCTCTGTGGCCCCTCACAGGGTCTGGGCCTAGCGGGAGGGAGGGCTAGACGCCACGCTGGGCGACAGTCGTGCCCCACGCCCGTCCCCGCCAGCGCCAGGTACTGGTCAACCTTCCCACCCCCAGCACAGCCCGGCTCTTCCTCGACCGCCTCCCTCCTCTCCGGGCTCGCGGACCTCTGCGCGGGCAGGGGGAGGTGCGCGAGGTGGAGGAAGGGTCAGGCTTCCCGGTTTAAAGGACCAGCAGCCAAAGTCCCCTGACAATTCCGTGCCATTTTTCCGGGTTCAAAAAGAGTAGAGTGAGGAAGACAGCGAGGCAGGGCGGCGGGAGACCGCGCGGGGGGCCTCTGGCGGCGCGGCGAGGGGGCGCTGTGGCGCCCAGGTGCGGCGCGGGGTGGGCGGGCACACACCCCAGCCCCGCAGCGCCGCAGGCCCCGCATGACATCAGAGGCTGGGGAGCGCGCAGAGCGCACGCGCCGGCGGAGAAGGCGCGGGAGGGGGCCGAGCGGCGCGGTCGGGAGAGCGCTCCTCCGCCGCGCGCGGTCCCTGCGCCCGCTCCGCCCGCTTCGCCCGCGCCTCGCTGCCCGCGCCGCGTCTCGGGCGTCCAGCGCGCGCCCCTCGCTCCGCAGCCAGCGCCGCCCTCGGGAACCTCCGCCGCGCCTTCCTCCTCCTCCTCCTCAGCCGCCGCCGCCACCGCCGGACACGCAGCCGCAGGCCGGGGCCGGGACGCAGCTGGGGAGTCAGGGACGCGCGCAGCCTGCCCTTCCCCCTCCGGCTCCCGCACCGCCGGCCGCCTCCCCTCACCCTCCTCTTCTCCCCTCCCTGCTCCTTTGCTTCCTCCTCTCCCGGCCCCGGCTGCCAGCACCATGTCCGCAGGGGGAGATTTTGGGAACCCACTGAGAAAATTCAAGTTGGTGTTCTTGGGGGAGCAGAGCGGTGAGTACCCGGCTCCATCTGTCGGCTCGGCGCCCCGTCTCCCAGGCGCGCATTCGCCCTCCCCGTGGGACCCGGGCCCTGAAAGGCCCTTCCCAAGGTGCCTGGGTGGAGGAGAGGGTTGCGAGTGGGGAGGTCCGGGTGGTCCCGCGAGGGGCTGGGCCCAAGGCCGGAGAGGGCAGACTGGGAGGTGCAGCGCCCGGGGCGGGGGCAGGGTGGGCTCGGGCGGGGACGGAGCGCAGGTGCAGCGCGGGGCAGAGGGCGGCGGCCGGCGGATCGCGGGGCTAGCGGCTCGCTCGCACTGCGGCACCGGCTGCGGGCTACAGCATTAGTGGCCGGGTGCCGGCGGGGGTGGGTAGGGGCCTGGAGACTTGCGTCCCTCTCGGGAGACAGAGGTGGGGCCGGAGTCTGACCACCCCTGCACGGCTGCGCAGGAGGGGTTCCCTGCGGACCCTGCCTGGAACCCAGAGAAAGGGCACGTGCAGGCCGGAGCAGATGGTCGCCGGGCGAGAAACCACCACTTGTCTCTTACCCAAAAAGCAGGTGCAGGCCGCGGAAAAACGGGACTCCTTCCCTTTTCCCTGGTTTAAGTCTGACCGGGTGGAAGGTTCTAGGCTTGCTGCCCTTCGCGGGTGTCCTAGCCTCCTTGGGTTTTCAGGGTGTGGATGATGACAGCGAAGGTTCCCCGAATGCCAAGTGATTTGTTGAATGATACAGGGGCCCCTAGCCTGGTGCTGGGTAGAGAAAGGCCCAGGCGACACGCCCTGCCCAGCTTCCCAGCACCCTCCAGAGAGCTACAGCGCTGCAGATTCTTCCCACCCTCACAGCCCAGCTCCCCGCCCTTCTTGGGGGAGGGGAGGTCACCGAGGAAACTGGCCAGAGCCAAGAGAGGGAGACTGAGGGCTTTTCTACTGCCCAGATGCCTCCCCAAAGAAAAGCATCCTGACATCGAGGTTGGTCCATGTAGGAAGCCCAAATTGAGGAGCAGGGACCCCTCTGACACCTGTGGGAAGGAGTGGCTTCCAGAGCATCCTCTAGGGGCTTCAGGGCACAAAGTGATACCTTCTCTAAGGGTAGGACCTCCAGCTCTGTCTCTGCAGATAGTCCTGCTCAGTAGGCTGTTTACTTGTCTACATGGGTCAAGACTAGGGAGACAGGAGGGCCTGGTGGGCTCAGACTACAGTGCGGCTGTGATGTGTGTGTGTGTGTGTGTGTGTGTGTGTGTGTGTGTGTGTGCTTGTGGGCTCCGAGGTCACATGGCTGTCTGTTGTCTATAGACGCTCCTTACCTGAGATGGAGGGTTGGAAGGAGGGATTAGAAGATGGTCCATCCCCTTGGCCCTGACATGGAAAATGGGTTTGGAACATCTGGGTTCAAGATCACCTCAGCCAGCTGCCCTTGAGTCTTGGACTCTGCTTTCCCGTTGGTAATAGATGCTAGTGTCAGGGAGCTGACATTTCCCTGTGCCTAGAAGAGATTTAGGAGTCAGTCCTAGGGGAGGGAGTATGCAGGTATCAGGCAGCCTAGAGGTGAATTCTGAGACGTGTTGCCTTAAGCCAAATGTGAGGCCTCTTGGATCTCAGTTTCTGCCTCTGCAAAATGGTAGCTTAAAGGCAGTTCCTCCTCTTCCCTGTTTCCTCATGTACCTCTAGAGCGTGTGGATCTCAGTAAACATTGGTTATATCAAGTCTAAACACATGTCCATAAAGAACACAAAGTTTGATGAAGAAAATCCAGTGAATTTAAGTGAAACCTCTGGGCTCCTTGGGAAACTGCTGGTAGGCCAAGGCCCATACAGAGCCCTGCAAACCTTGTACCTAAAACCATAGAAACAGAGCCTGAAGCCTAAAAAAAATGCCCACCCCTTGTACAAGCCTGTTTGACCTGTTCTTGGGAGGGAAGCACCAGGGAAGGAGGAACCCTTGCCTGGAGGCCTACTGTGAGTTGTTGACCTTCTTCAGGAGCAGAAATTCCAGGTCACTATTCTTCACTAGCCTGTCTTTGGGAAGTGAGATGACCTTGAACTGGGGAATCAGGAATTGGGGAGCCTTTGTGAGAGGGACTGCGGGCTCTGAGATGGCAAGATTTGGTGATCTGGTGCGGTATATTGGACCAGTAGGTTGGGAAGCAGGGTTTTGAGGCCCTCGGAACATGTCATAAGAGGGGCACTTCCATTAGTGACACTGGCTGCTGGCCACCCTGGTTCCTTCTGGTAGAGTCATAAGAGCCTGAGTAGGTCTTGTAATGCCTTGTGTCATTGGTGAGTTATTTATGGTAGGTTTTGCAGAGTTAGGTAGAGGATATATGCATCCCTGAGCCTGCTGAATGGGGAGAATTGCCGCTGCTGCCAGCTCTTCCATTTTGCCTGTGCAGCTGAACCTCTGCTGGTCCTATGCCGAGCACCCTCTGCAGCCTGTGCTGTGGAGGCAGCCTCCTGAGGTCTGGTCCTCATCCCTCCCCTGCCTTTCCCTACGTGATCTTGGAGGCCCCTCCCTTTCTGTAGAAGAGAACTGGGCCTGCTGAGCTCTGAAGAACCTTCTAGAATAGCATAGGCCTTCCCTTTTGAGCTGAGTCCCCTAGAGAGGGGTCAGTGGAAGAGAGTAGAAGGACACAGCCTCTTGTTTCCTGTGCCTGGCATTGGATTCCAAAGAGGAGTCACGGACTCAGAGGGAAGATTCCCTAAGCCAGATAGTTCCAGGTAAGCATCAGTCCTTCAAAGATTTTAGGGAACTGGTTTGAATGAGGAGAGGACCTCTAGACTGTGAGAAAGCCTCCCTCCCACGGGCAGAGTGACTGCTGTAGGGAAAACAGTCTGGCCAGTGGTGTCAGCCCAGCCTGGGATGAGATTGTGGGTAGGGCTCTGCAGGCCCTAGGTGAGGGATTTTCTTGGTGTGCAGAGTGGGAAGGGAGGCCAGGGATGTGTCTGTAATATGTAGGCTTCATCCCATTTTCCTTTCCTGAGACTTGTTTAGCTGCAAGAGGAAGATTTGATGCACACAAGGCAGACTGTCTGCTTTCCCAGGCTAAGGTCAGCAGGCTGGCCTCTCCCTCTGACCAGCTGCTTGCATTATGCATTCTGGTGTCCACTCAGTGGGAGTGGCACCCCTGTAAGTTGTGCAGTAGTGACCCCATGGACAGCTACCATTGGGTTACTTGTTTACCTACTCGTCTTTCTTCTCTCGCCCCATCTCTCTCCTCCTGCTTACATTATTGGTTTATTGTTTATTTATTTATTTAATAGGTCTCTGAGTGTGTCCTTGCCCTCATGGAACTTACTATTCACTGAGGGGCACAGACCTCTGAGGGTCTAATTATAGCAGAGGCCTGGGAGAGCTGCGATGAGGCAAGAGCAGCTGCTACAGGAAGCTGGTGGCAGGGGCATCTGCCCACCTTGGGGCAGGTGGTAAGGGCCATTTGTAGGCTTCAAGGGAGAGACGGTGCTTCTGCTCACAGCAGGCTGTGTGTCTCTGTTGGGCTGTGGGTAAGGGTTGTTGTAAGGAGCCTCTCCAGGGAACCTCTTCTGTCCACTCTGTAGAAACTGTGTGTGGCGGAGGCAGAAGAGGCCAAGGGTGACGCTCAGGAGTATGGCTTGCTGGCGCTGAGCAGGGGCTAGCCCTACCGATCTCACCTTGCTTTCCCTAAGGGTGAAGGAGCGTAAGTTGCTGCTCCTGCCTAGAAGGCTCATGCAGCCCAACCCATGACCTGAGTCCTGCCCTGCCTGAAGCCATACCCTCCGTCTCATGGAGCCCTCTTCTCTTCACCAACTCCCAGACCTGCTCATGCCTTGCAGGATTGCACACCCAACTGGCCGTGTAGTATGGAACAGCTTTGAGCATTTTTGTAAAAAGTGCTCACCTGCTGCCCCATGATCTTTTTTTTTTTTTTTTTTTTTTTTTTTGCTTCTATTAACTTAAGGTTTTAAAATGTTTATTATCCTTTTCAGGTACAGAAACCCTAGTGAATTATGCACCCAAGGACAACCCTAAGCACTTTTAGAGGACCATCTTAATCACCATTTTAACCATTCCCCCACCCTCCTGTCTGTGGGTGATTTGTGCTCACTGAATATCTTGATTTGAAAATGATGACATTACCCGGAATGGGTAAGATTTGCTGACAGCCATGAGTAGATTAAAAGTGAAAGGTGTCAAGAAGACTTTGAAATAGGATTCCTTCATCCTGGCACCTGTGGCTTTCTCAAGCCAAAGGTTCCTACCAGGAGCACGTGGGAATCTTTTTCAGAGGATTGAATCATTAAGCCTTCCTCATTCCTGAATTAGAATTCACCTCAAGGAACCTGAAGACCCACCCCTCTTCACTGTATCTTTGAAAAAAATATGGGAATTGGCTAAGCCAGCAGAGTGGGAAGGGACATGGAAGACCTGGTCCTGCCAGAACTTCCTTGGAAATCTGGAAAAAAGTCACCAACATGTTGTGTGCCTCAGTATCTGTCTTGCTTTTTGTCCTCTCAGCATGAAATGGGGGACTTTGGATGTTAGATGCACACTCAAAACCTTTGTTTTGTATTTATTTAAAGAGTCAAACTAAAATAAATGTATTAAATAATCCATCTTCCATTATTACACTGAAATACCTGAGGCAGGCTAATTTTATAAAGACTTTAGTTCACAGTTCTGGAGTATTAATCAAAAGCATTGTGGTGGCTTTAGCTCAGCTCTGGGGAGGATCTCAAAGCTGATGGTATCACAGTGGTGGGAGTACATGTAGAGTCACAGAGGTCACATTGAAAAACAGGACACCAGAGACACGGCGTCCCATCAGCCTCTGTGGAGGTACTCTACTTGGTCTAGGGATCTCCTGAGTCCTACCTCTGTTTAGGTGCCTGTTTGTTTGTTTGTTTGTTTGGTTTGATTTAGTTTGGTGCTGGTGGAACTAGGGGTTGAACCCAGAGCTTTTTCACTGAGCTACATCCCAAGCTGTTATTTTATTTTATTTCAAGACAGGGTCTTGCCAAGTCACTAAGTTGTCCCGGCTGGTGTCAC